GCGTGTCCTCCAGCAGAGCTCCTCCCTGGAACTTGGAGCCCAGAGCCGAGGTCTCCACAAACAGCTCCAGCTCCGAGAAGCCGGCCTCATGCGGCGTCAGCTCAAACCACTTTCCTGGAGAAAGCACAGGAGGCTACAGTGAGAACGTCTCTCCAGGAGGTTTAATACTGAGAGAAAAACAGGATTATATGTGTGTGTATTAAAGCACACATGTGATGCATTATTTGTTTTGGTATTGGCCTTTAAAGGCACATTTTTGAGCAGAAATGTTCAGTCTGATATTGATTTATGAACAGTCTCAACCAGTGACAGAACAATCCTGAGAAAATTCAAACCACATACTTTATTCTCTGAGGTTCAGAGGATTTTTTTTTACAGAGGATTATTGAAACAAGTGTGAATGAAGTTAGATACAACTCCAGGTGTTTTTAATGAGGCAACACTGTTATTCATGGAAAGTCCTGATGCCACATCAAAAAACATCACATCACTGAAAAGGAAAAGGGGCAAACCTTTAAGAAGAAGGAGTTTTAGGGTTTGACCTTTAACCTGCTGCCTGGAGAGTCGCTGACACTGTTTAAAAAAGCTTGCCAAAACTAACTTCTGCAGACATTTATATCTGCCTCATCCAGAGCTCCCTCTGTATCCAGACAATTCCTGACATTTTGGTCATTTAGAAATTTGACCAGGGAATTTCTTTGTCTTAGTTTTGCCCAAAGGCTAAACCGTCTAACCAGAAATTCATTTAATTCAGTGAGCCCTGTGTTTTGGGGTTTCCTCGTAACCAAATGAACTTTAATAAAATATTTGGCTATGTTATTGGACTCTTATAATGTTTTAGCTTTGAAAGTGAAGTGAAACAAGTGTTCACTGCACAGTCTGGAGAGAAGTGTTGGAGACCACTGATCCTGGTGGAGGAAATCCATCTCTGGTGACAAACACGGTCCTTGAGGATATTACAGAAAAATAATATTTTCTTTTGAGACTTGTTGTTGGTGCAGCCCACAGCGCGACAAGCAGACGGAAAAAACACTTCAGTCTTTAGATGGCAGCACCAACGATGTGACGTCGCTTTAGACCCATGAATTACACAGTTAAAAGCTCAAAAATCCATTCAGCATAACAGTGTTTTTTGAGTCGATGTTTTAGGCCTGTGTCATGTTCTTACAGGCCTGTACCTTCTGTGGGTCAAAGAGTCAAAAAGCCCAGCCCCTCTGCCCCCGGTCTTCACCTCTCCTCTCCTTTCTTTATGAGCCTATTCCTAGACTGACCAGTAGATGGCGCCAAAGATACAGGTAAGTCACAAGTGTCTGCTGCACTTGTTTAATTTGGCCCAAACCCAGGAACACAAAGGGAAAACACAGAGACACCTGTGAGTAAATCTACCTGTAAAATGAGTTTTTAAGTGCAAATGTGAAGTGAAAATGACACAACAGTGTCAAAATAATTTGTCTTAATTTATAAGTAAAATGAATATTCAGTTTAATTTAAGTAGCACAATGAGAAGCCTTACTTAGATTATAAATGCAACTGGCTGATTTATTTTATGAAATGACCAAATTTAAATTAATCGTAAATTAAAAAATAAATTCACAATAGTAGTAGTAATTTAGTTTAAGTTCAGAAAATGTTAAAAAGCTAATTGGTAATTGACTTTTTAAATATATTCCAATTTATTGCAATTGTTGTAAAACGTATTAAAGTCCAACCAAATTAAAAGAGCATTAATTTTTTAAAGTGTATATTATTTAGCAATTAAAGCTATTTATTAATTAATTAACATTTGATATGAAATAATAAAATATTACATTTGTTTCATATATCTAGTCATTTAAAAGACTGTAGCCTGTAGAAGTTAGTATGTAAAAGATATTTTAATACATATTATTATAATTAAAATATATTCATTAAAATACAAATAGTTTAAAATACTAACGTAAATGTAAAATGTAAATGAAATTTAATTATTTCTTATTATTTATTTTAAAGGTTTTTGACCTGCTGCTGCTTAAATAAAAGTCTTGAACCTGAGTTGAACCTTGTTCCTGTTTTTCAAGTTGGACCTTCATTCCTCAACTAAAGACTTGACAAATAGTACAGGTCCGTGGTTGAAGAGTAACTTGTGTAGGTCTGTGGTTGAAGAGTAACTTGTGTAGGTCTGTGGTTGAAAAAGTACCTCTTATGGGTCATTGGTTGAAGCAGTACCATTGGTTGAAGAGTAGCTCGTGTAGGTCTGTGGTTGAAGAGTACCTCGTGTAGGTCTGTGGTTGAAGAGTACCTCGTGTAGGTCTGTGGTTGAAGAGTACCTCGTGTAGGTCTGTGGTTGAAGAGTACCTCGTGTAGGTTGTGGTTGAAGAGTACCTCGTGTAGGTTGTGGTTGAAGAGTACCTCGTGTAGGTTTGTGGTTGAAGAGTACCTCGTGTAGGTTTGTGGTTGAAGAGTACCTCGTGTAGGTTTGTGGTTGAAGAGTACCTTGTGTAGGTCCCTCGTTGAAGCAGAACTGCTCGACGGCTCCGTACACGGGGTAGGGGTTGGAGGCGTTCCTCGCAGCCTCCTCGGAGAGAGTCCAGTTGTCCCACTGTGAAACATACACACACATGTTCACACTGGACCAAAGCAGGAGCTTCTCAAACTGAGCTCATTAGCCATCGTAGTTTTAAATATAAATAGGAAAAACTTTTTAGATTATGTAAATGAGCTTGTTTTTGTGGTTTAGTTTTTTCTTAAACCCTGAGTTAGTTCCTGCTATTTCAACTTCATGCATTGACTCTGGTTTACTCCTGGTTGGTTAAGTCCTGCTTCAGTCTTATTTCAGCCTTCAGTCCTACTTCAGTCCTGCTTCAGTCCTGCTTCAGTCTTGGTTCAGTCTTGGTTCAGTCTTGGTTCAGTCCTTGGTTCAGTCCTTGTTCAGTCCTGCTTCAGTCTTTGTTCAGTCCTTGTTCAGTCCTGCTTCAGTCCTGCTTCAGTCCTGCTTCAGTCCTGCTTCAGTCTTGGTTCAGTCTTGGTTCAGTCTTGGTTCAGTCTTGGTTCAGTCTTGGTTCAGTCTTGGTTCAGTCTTGGTTCAGTCCTGGTTCAGTCTTGGTTCAGTCTTGGTTCAGTCTTGGTTCAGTCTTGGTTCAGTCTTGGTTCAGTCCTGCTTCCGTCCTGGTTCAGTCCTGCTTCAGTCCTGCTTCAGTCCTGTTCAGTCCTTGTTCAGTCCTGCTTCAGTCCTGCTTCAGTCCTGCTTCAGTCCTGCTTCAGTCTTGGTTCAGTCTTGGTTCAGTCTTGGTTCAGACCTGGTTCAGTCTTGGTTCAGTCCTGCTTCCGTCCTGCTTCAGTCTTTGTTCAGTTCTTGTTCAGTCCTGCTTCAGTCTTTGTTCAGTTCTTGTTCAGTCCTGCTTCAGTCCTGCTTCAGTACCGTCTTCATGATGGCTGCAGAGATCAGGGCTCCCCACGGGTCGCTCAGGGAGAACTCTGGGCTCTGGGCTTTGTCGTAGAGCCAGGACAGGATCTTCTCCGGCTCCACAGAGTGAGGTGTGGGCAGGAGGGAGTTCAGAGACCTGCTCCACTGAGGGTCCCTGTACAGAGACGCCATGGACCTAAACACATACAGAGAACTGGTCACGAAAACAGATTTACAGAACTTTTAAACAGACCTGGAGTTGTGTTTTGTTTCATTCACACAAGTTTAACACACAAACCTGAGTTCTTCTCTTGAACAAAAACACTCTGTAAACTCACCTTCACTAGAATAATTTGGATAATTTCAGTCCTGAAATTGCCAATTTCTACCAAATAAAAAGTGAAATGAGCTGTTAACTTGAAAACTACCAAAATGGAACACAGCATTTTGAGCTTTGGAGTTGCAGACAGACAAACAATAAATGATTAAACATGAATGTAAATGAATCAAAACACAACTCCAGGTCTGTTTTTGAGGAGGTACCAGCATTTGAACATGGCTTAAGCTCACCAGTCAATTCTGCCTAGTATAGGACCTTTAAACTTGAATCAGCAAAACATTGACACACACTTCACCTTTTAGCACTAGTGAACTCACACAATGAAAACATGAAAGTGTGGAGGTCCACCTCCGATTCAGACATCCCTTCATTACAACATGCCTCTATTTAGACGTGTCAGATTTCCAACACTTTTTAGTACTGGGCTGCGAGAGTGTGATCTTATTAGCCAGGCTGGTGCCACCGAGTGCCTCCGCTCATTTTCATTTCTCTCCAGAGACTTGGTCAGGAATCAGAATACACTAGATGATTTGCAAAAACCCCGGAAGTTGTAAACCGCGCACCAACCAATCAGCAAAGAGCCGTGAAGCCATGACGTTAAACTGAAGCATCTGTCTATGTCCCTTTTGTGGAACAGCACAACAGTAAACAAAGTGTCGAGATGGATGTAGACGAAGACAGACATTCTGTGTTGGCAACGATTCCCAAGATCGAGGATTTAAAGCCAGAACAAAGAAAATATTTGGTGAATTTTATAAAGGGAAAAGACGTTATTGCCCTCCTTCCTACGGGATTTGGGAAAAGGTTAATATACCAGTTAGCCCCGTTAGCGGAGCATTACATACGTCACGACCAAATACAGTGATTGGTTAAATAAGAAAGTACCTGCCTACCGCTGAATGAATCGTAATGCAGTGAGGTCAGACGGTTTCCACAAAGTGAAACTGGCTGATGAATCAGCCTTTCATCTCATTGAGCTGGCGCAATGAACTTGATTGTTTTTTTTAATTTAGGCTGTATGTTGTTCTCCACTGATCGCCTACATGACGAAAAGAATGAAGCACAAAGGCCCATGCAGCCTCCATTTTAGATTAGATATTTTCCCAAAGACTGTCCTATGCATGACTGTTTCCCACAGCGATCAGTTTAGACATTTTTCCTCACTGTCGCAAAGTATAATAGGCATCAGTGGCGGCTGGTCAATAGTCACTCCCTAACTTGACCTAGATGAAAAAAAAAATAAGAAAAAAATTATAAAGTTGTTATTTTGTATTAGGCTATGTGTTTAATATTTTGTTTAAAATGTAACGTGTATCTGCATAGACATTTTTATCATGTTAAATGTGCTCATATCACTTTATTTGAGTCAAGTGTTTGGAATTTGAGTGCGGTGAGTTGGAGCGATTGAGCAAGATTCGTGGCGGATCCGCAGAACGGATCCTAGGATATAAAGGCTTAAATTTAAAAACATAAACTTAAACAATTTCAAAGTTGGATCAGAGATATCCTAACACTAAATCTCATTACTTAAGAAAAAAAGAAAGTTGTTTTTTTTACACTGTAAACAATGTTTATTTAAATCATTAATTAGAAATCTTAGGACATGAGTAATTTATTATTATTATTATTATTATACCCTTTGAGTTAACCAATGCTTCATTCTTAATATGAAAATGACAATTTACAGTTTTTACTAAAAATAGTTCAAGTTAAGCAAAGTTGTTTTTTTTTTTTTTAATAGCAAAAAACAAATATAAGCTATATGAGTAAAAGCCTGGACAGATGAGACTGAGTGTAGCCATATGTAGCAGGTATTGGGCAGCACAACCACTGCTGGCAGTTTAAAACATTTGTGTGTGGAGAGATTGGGTCTGAAATAAACAAATGGAGATGGAGACGTTATTATCTGTGGCCTCTGCGTTCTGCTACTGCCGAGTAACTTTAATTATGCTTATTCACAATACAATACAATAATTTACAATTTACATAAAAATTACATAGAATTACTCTTTCAGTCTAAGTCTCTACTGTTCTTGGTAAACAAAACCCTGACTATTCATAAATAGTATTTATTATGTAATCTAAATTTTACAGTTGATCTCCAGTCCAAAGATGTCATAAAATGACTTAACTCTAGCAGGTTAGCATACTGACTGTGACACAACTTTTATAACTGTAGCTTTGTTTGAACATAACTTTTACACATTCACAAAATAACAATATCAACAACGAATAACAAAAATTTAATATGTGGCTGGAGCGGGTCAAAATTACAAGTTCTAAGTTAATGCTAGCGCGGCAGTTAGTATAGCGCGTTAATAAGGGAACAAATAAAACAGACGTCTAGGTATCGCGACCGGGTATTACAACTAAGTTGTATGTTTATATGACTTCATATGGCTCTGTATTGTGATTTTGGGACTGTACCAACCTGAAATAAACAAATGGAGACGGAGACGTTATTATCTGTGGCCTCTGCTTTCTGCTACTGCCGAGTAACAGGAAGCAGAGGCCAGAGCGCCCCAAACCGTCTCACTGCATGCTCTGCCATCTGGTGGACAAAATTGAAATTGCAACTGCTTCCCAAAACTAAAACACTACTATTCCTTATTTACAGAATTTCATTACATTAAATAAAAGAATGTGACCACACATTGTGGGCGTCACACATACCATACTGTTAAAACTAAAACTTAACTTGTGTTTACCACCACAGTATAATGGATGGTTGTTCTTACAGAGTGTGCTTATTCTTGTAAGGAGTCAGAGTTCAGGTTTGTGAAGAACATTGTAAGTCATGACAGTGGCTGTGTGATTTGAACATGAAACGTTATTGTATTAAGGCACGTTGCGATAAATTATTGTATTAAGGCACTGACATGACTGCACTTTAGTCTCAATTCAACAGTCAAGACTCTAGTCTACACAAATAATAATTATATGTGGTTAAAAACACAATCAGATCAGACACCGGTGTTAGCGTCGCTCCACAGGCGAAGGGAGAGCGCCGAGAGCGGCGTCCAGCCAGAACCGAGACCGTTAGACACGACCAATGATCACGGAGCGGAGTTATTCTTTGATCGTAAAAATATACAAGAATATAAGTAGCGTTTTATAAAAATAGTATTTAGACTGGGATCTACCTCAAGAGATGGAGTTATCCTGACTCCTGACCTCACATCGTCTTCATCACGTTACTGTCGCTAACTTTCCTACTGCACTCGTCAAAACTAATAAAACACACACAGTCACAGACGTACAGACATCACAATCTAACGTTAACGTTGTGTACATTAATGATGACTAATAAAATTAACTTTTAAACAATTACTTACAGTTAAATCCGCGGACAACAGGTGGGTGCTGCTTCTTTCCACTCAGGTTCCGCTAACGGCTCAACGTCCGCGCAGCGAATCCAAACCGGTTTAGCCGCGGATCCGCGCATTGACAGCACAAATCTAACAAGTGTTTTGGTAAAAGTGCGTTCACAGTGCGGATCTTAGATGATTTAACCGCAGATTCGCTCTGTAACAGCAGGCCATCCAAGGGTTACGATTAGCAACAGTCAGAAAGCGAATACGGAACAGATACGCAGCGGATCCGCAAAGCGGACGGACTGTGGGGCGGATTTGACGGACCGAAAGCGGATCCGCTGCGGATCCTGGTGTTAGTAGGAGGTTTAGAGAAGAGTTTGAGTTGAAGCTTAAGTTTTGAGAAAATTTGACGTCATGACGTTGCTTCTGCCCATTAATTAGCCCTAAAATCCGTCTTTAGGCGCAGGGAGCAAAATCAACTGAAATCAACTGACTGGTCTGAATAAACATGAACACACATCTGGACCTGTTGTGGTTCTGTTGTGGTTCTGTTGTGGTTCTGTTGTGGTTCAGCTGCTCTGACACTCAGCCGCGACTCTGCTGCGACAGGGGCTAAAGATGACAACAACACAGCTGTGTGTTGTACAGTTAAGGCGAGTTCGTACAAGTCCGTCCGAGGAACAGTTTTTGGGAGTAAGAACATGAAAAGAAGCATTAAGCTGGAATGAGCTGCGGTGAGATACTGCGGCTCTTATTCTGATTCGCACACTGGCTAATGGCGGCTAGCTGTTAGCTTAAACCTCTCCACAGTAAAGCGCGAGGACAGACCCGCCGCCGGGACCAGGACCCAGGACCCAGGACCCACTCACCGCCGGGACCAGGACCCAGGACCCACTCACCGCCGGACCAGGACCCAGGACCCACTCACCGCCGGGACAGGACCAGGACCACTCACCGCCAGGACCAGGACCAGGACCAGGACCACTCACCGCCGGGACCAGGACCGACCAGGACCCAGGACTCACCGCCGGGACCAGGACCAGGACCCACTCACCGCCGGGGCCGGGGCTGTTGCTCGCTGCTCTATCCGCCTCTGCCCGCTTGTTTCTCGGTGTAAAAGTTTAAGTGGGCGTAGCGCACAGAGGCATAAATCCACCTGGTGTCACTTTCAGATTGAAGTGGGAAGTGGGATTAAGACAATTTTACAATCAGCTCGTGCACTCGGCTCTTGGACCTTTTGTCACGGACCTGACTGGACCAGGATTTGGACCAGTTTGATCTCTTCGTATCGGACAATAGACTTTTGGAGACAGAACCAGTGGGACAGTGGATAGAGGAAACACTCTGCTTCAGTCTCTGGAGAAGGTAAGAGGTTTGTTTTCATTAGTTTGGGGCAAATCAGTAGATGGAGTCTCATATGTATATAGTGTTATAGTTAAATAGTGTTATAGTGTTATAGTTAAATAGTGTTATAGTTAAATAGTGTTATAGTGTTATAGTTAAATAGTGTTATAGTTAAATAGTGCGTAAATGAGCTGGTGGTGCGATGGAGCTGCTGTTGTTCCGCTGTGCGCTGTAGGAGCTGCGCTGATGCTGTGTGTTCATGTTGTGATCGTAGCCTCTTATTGTAGTTTTACTGACGTTGTTGGGGATGGGTGTGAGCGGCGTGTTACCTTGTGTTGTGTTACGTTGTGTTGTTGGGGCTGGTTGTGAGCGATGGATCAGGTTGTGCTGCTGCGTAAACTTAGGTAAACTTGCGTAAAACTGCGCTTGGCTGTGCGTTGTGCTCTGATAGTTCAGCCAATAGTGACCAAAATGAAAATGTCTTTTTCTGTTTCATTATAATACTATATAGCCTATATATAATACATATATTTATAATATATATTTATAATTTTGGCCTTGGCGTCCCCCCAAAAAATGATACCACCAGTCACCACTGCATCACATTAATATTATATTCATGTCGGAAAAGCAGAATGTTTGAAAAATAGTAAAGTGCTGCTACTCCAACAATGAAAAAAAAAGTCGAAGTAGTGCTACACTTGAAAAATAATGTTTATGCTGCATCTCTGACACTTAGACATCAAAGTCTGGCTCTGGACTTTGAAGACAAAACTGTGCAGATTTACTAACTTAAAATTATATTTGCTCACCTACATTTTCAGTCTACAAACCCAAAATAAAGAAAACTAGAACTATAGACTGTATAAAGAGGTAGAAAGAGTGAGTGACGTCACCCGCAGCTTTTGGCTCCAGTCAAATGAAGCTCATCGAGGTTTGTGGTTACATTATATATACAGTCTATGGCCAGAAGTGTCTTGCCCATAGACACAAGAGCAGCTGAGGAGCTCTTCTGTGTGTGTGGGTGAGTTACCATGTGGAGCCGGACACTCCTGACAGGTACAGCACCGGGTCTAGCAGCCCATCCCGGGACATCTGAGTGAGGGAGCCGATCAGAGCGACCGCGGCCCTCTCCCCCCCTCCAGAGGTGAGTAAGGCGACGTGCGGCATCTCATCCTGGACACAAAGTAATCAGGTTAAAATATTAAAGGTATTTGACTTTTATGGGGTAAAAACTCTAAACATCATATATTTAGATCATCATGTTCCTTTTATTGTTTCTAACATATCAACATGTTTTATCAGATTCACTTTTGGTCTTGACACTCAGTTTCCTCTCCCTTTGTTTCCCCGCTCATTCCTTCAGGGCAATATCACAACAGAATCAGTGTACATCCCACTAATGAAGCTACTGCACATCACTTCAAATTTGTTGAGCTGCTGTGTACAGTTTTGCATCATGTTTTGTATATTTATGGAGAATTGTCATATGGGAGCGTGGGATTGACGTAGGCCACTGAAAATAATTCTATGCACAGTAGAAAATACATAGTAATAAAATATTTACAGTTAAACACACAGGACGTTATGGCCTCTGTATAAGTTTGTATTTATGTAATGTGTGTATTAAAAGAGCAGTACCTTGGTGCAGTTCAGTCCCAGATTGCGGAGGGCCTGAGCAGACACCACTTTCCTCTGCTGGATGTACTCGTGCTCCCCCGCAGACAGAGACGGACCACGCCGCACTGACCTCTGAACACAAACAACACAAACACGACAGGAATAATGTGTAATTGCTGCAGAAAGGACACTCCAGTGCAGAACGAGGCCTAACTGTGTCCACGCTTGCACCATTAGAACATTACACAGAACTAGGGATGGTAACAATAACCGAAATATCATGAGGAAACAACAGTACCAGTACATCAGGGGCGCCCGATGAGGAGCCCCAGCGGCTTCGCACGAAGGGTCAAACACAGAGAAAAGATTTCCATACAGGAAATAAAATAAAGTGCACCTTAACTTTAACCTTATGTCAAAATGGCACGACTCTGTTTTTAATATGGGGAAAGATGAAATAAGAAAGATTTATAGTCATTGGTCGGCATTCATGAAACATTTTTACGAACAAATTTGTGCTTAAGTCTTTCTTACGAACATTCATAAAACTTTTTCTTAACTGAAACTGGTATGAACATTCAGGAGCACTCGTAAGAACAAAAAAATCTACTGTTTTAGAATATTATTTCTGTGATAATGCAACAAAAAATTTAAATTCCTTCATGATTGTGAGTTATAGATTTTCTTTGGGTTGGAATCAAAAAGACAAACATACAAATCATCACAAGTTTTTTTTAACCTCTTGGACCTTCTCTCAGGCTCCTGTATGTTCATCATCATGTCTCTGATGGTCTCCTAAGGTCAATATTTATTTTTTATTTATCAGAGTTTTACATCAGTTCAGTGACAGTTTACGGGGAAAGAAAATCTGAGAAAGGAACAAAGAAAAAGGGAACAAAAATACAGGAAGTAGCAGTGAGTTCCAAGACCACACACCTCAAACGATGTCACTACAGAGACTTTTTATGCACAAGAAAGATTTTTTTTTTTTTTTACAGTTATTAACATTCTTTTAACAAAATAAAGGTGGTGATCTTTTGATTCTATTTTCATTAGTCTAATTTATTGTGTAATTTATGTTTTTTGCACAGTTATGTAATTATCTCCATTATATCTCCTATGTCCATGTCTAAACAGGAAGACACCTTGTTCACCAGTATTTAAAAATAGAAAGAAAGAAAAAAAATAAGTAGATGTTTTGGTTAAATTGTAATGATGTTAACTATGTTTTAGTGAAATCTGTCACTTGCACTTTAAAGGTCTTGTATTACGTTTCTTGTGAACTTTAAGTCATGTTATAATGTTGTTACCTCTTCAAACACAGACCTGAAGTTGTGTTTTGTTTCATTCACACATGTTTGAGTAACTCTTTATCATTAGTTTGTCTACATCTCCACTACAGATGTTTTCAGGACAGAACAGTGCCGGTGCCACTCCCGTTCTGCTAGTGTTCACCGGTGAACGACCCACATTTTAAGTGAACCCATCATGTGTCATCGACAGGGTGTTGATGTGCCACCAAATTTAAAAACAGCAGCATGTCACAGAGAGGAAAATAACAATCATGGATCGCATCATCGACACCAGCGAGCGTCTGTACTCATACCAAATCTGCGCCAAGATCTGCTACAACATCTGCTGTGGAGAAGGCGACAGCGACGCCAAATCCAAAAATGGCACCTCACCGGGCGAACACGGATACAGCAAATATTTGGTCTCTTTCGCTGACCACTGCACAATCTTCTTGTTACTTGATTTCTCCACCATGTTCCACACACACGTTTTCTTTGTTTGTTTATTTTACCGTGTGTGACCAGGATGAACCTGCCGATGTCTACTGTGTTGTCACATTTCTCTTGGAAAAAACAAGTTTTACTTGGTTCCGGTCGGAACCAACTTTTCGGTTCCTGAACACTCTGATTTTCATTGTCAGCCAGTTCGAGATTAGGTGCGGAAACTGGCACCAGCACAGCTCTCTGTCAGCCTGAAAACACTACTTGTGATGCCATCAAGTGAACATCTCCTTTTACCTTCAGTTCAGTGGAAATGAGCAACTCCAGATCTGAAATCATCCAAATGATTCTAGTGAACGTGTGTGGAGTTTGAAAACACAGTGGAGCACATCCTGTATTACCACATGACATCACAACGTGGAATGGAGTGTTTTCAGTTTGAGAGAAGAACTCATCTTAAATATGCAGGGTTTGTGTGTTAAAGCTGCATTGTGTAACTTTTCTGGTATATAAATGTTATTGGTGTGTCTGGACTGTTTCACAGTATGGCATTAAACCTTCTATCTTCACAATGACCAAACCAGAACAGGTTACAGGTCAGATCTGTGGAGAGGCGACGCCGCTCAGTCAGAAAATCGAGCTGTTTAATGTCACACTGTGGAACATTTCAGGCAGAGCAATGACATCTCCACACACAGTGCACCTTTAAACATGCGTGAATGAAACAAAACACAACTCCAGGTCGGTTTGTAATGAGGAAACGACATTAGAACGTAGATCAGAAAAGTCCATCACCTTCTCCTTGGTCTTCAGACGTTCAGCTCCATGAGGTCGATCTCTCACTCGACTCCTCCTCAGAGAATTACAGACAAGCAGAGGAGGAGGAGCGGCCGTAAACTGTGCTCAAGAAAGAATTTTATCGCGCCATATCTCTGTAATGTAGCCAGTCCTAGGGCTAATTAAAAGGTAAAATAATGAGGAACTGAAACAAAGTTTTAGAATGTTTATTGTAAATTGATTATGTGCAGATTGAAGTTACCTGTAAAAAAAGAAAAGAAAATAAGTAAAAAGTAAAAGTGCATTTAAATTTAAGTAATTGTGTTAAAGTAATTGTACTTACCCTCTGGTGTGGTCTGCCTCAGGTGCTCCGGCCAAAAGAGTCCCCGGGGAGGTGGAGCACCTTAAGAAGGCTCTGGGGCAGCCAACCATGTTGTTTAGAGGAGGGGAGCACAAATTTTTTACTTGTTCTATTTAGTATTTTAAAACATTAAACACTGCTAATTTAAATAAAGAGATATATATTTTTGTAATTAATGTAATTGGATATTGTTTGGGCACTGTTTTGATAATTATGTAAAATAATTATCAATAATTATAATTATGATAAATGTACAAGTTATTGGAGCTTACCTGATCGTTGAAGTGGGCTCACCCAATTAGGACAGAGCCTTTAAAAGAAGCCAGCCTCACCTTGTTGGGGGAGAGGTGCTGTGTGTGAGCGCAGGTAACTGCTATGCCTGTTTTTAACCTTTTTGGAACTTTTGTAAATACTTTTCTATTTTTGTCTTTAATAAATGCACTGGGATCTGCACTGTAAACCGGCTCAACTTGACTCTGTTCCTTCTAAAACCGCTAAGGTTGCCACCAGGCTATTACAATCTGCAACACTTTTATTTCCTGGCACCTCACAGTCGCATTAGAATTCATTAAACAGCTCTACTTTATGTTTTTTTTTTTTGTTACAGTTGGATTTACAGCTCAAAATACCTAGAAAAACAAACATCCTCTCCACAGATCTGACCTGTAACTTGGTCCATTTGGTGTCCATGAAGATAGAAACGTTTAATGCTACACTGTGAAACATTCCAGACAAAACAATAACATCTCCAATTGGGAAAGCATTTGACAGAAACTCCACCAGAAACGTTACACAATGCAGCTTAAGTAGATGTTCAAGTGGATACTTATGGAAAAAATCATTATCACGATTATTTAGGTCAGGGGTCGGTAACGTATGGCTGGTGGGCCAGGTGTGGCTCTTTTGATAATTGCATCTGGCTCGCAGATAAAACATGAAATATTCTCACTTGTTTTAGGCTACGTTTACACATCACCAGGTATTTTGAGAAACGAATATTTCCCTGCCTCTCTTTTCCTAAATAACATCGTGCACAAAGCATCGTTTTCAAAATAGTTTTTGTTTACATCAACCCGCATAAATATGCCATCGAACGCCGTTATAACTACACCGAGCCTCTGGGCGCAGCTGGATTAGATTCAAACCTGTAGCATTTATTTCATTACAGTTGTACGTTTTACTCACAAATACCTTGAAAAACGTGCATTACTGAACGGGCTCGCCTCTTCACAATTATGTTAAAGAAGTAGCAAAATCACTGACCTCTGAGTCCTTGTTCATCTCTGGTCATGGATCTGATCCATCAGCTGTGTGCAAATGCGAACACATGAAAAGTGTTTCACTAGAAGAAAAAGATGAGCTGAAGCGGGGAGTGGTGTCTGGTGCCTCCACCTGAGAAGCGCTTTCTCCAGGAAAAAAACATGTGCGCGGACGGACGCTCAGAACAACATATAACGAACCAAACGAGATTCACATTTCTGTCCGGATCCTTTGCACCACCTTGGAAACAGCCGCGGTCGAGCGCTGAGAACCGGAGCAACTGCCCGGACCTGTGGTCCAAAGCACATTCTCACTTTCCCCACACAGAACCAGTGCGCAGATGACTGCACTGAGGCACTCAGACCCAGTCCTTTGCGCATTGGTCTTACTCACCCCGAGCGTCCGGACTGATCAGACCAACACTGAACCCCCAGCCTCATCTTGAGGAGCTGCACGCTCCGGTGAGTGCTCCCGTGTGTTTAGCGCTGTTACCCGAACTCAGAGCTTCTGCTCCGGGCTGATGTGCGGTGAGTTTGTACAAAGTTCTACATGCGGCTGTTTTATGAGTTCGTGGTGATAATTTGAGATGAGGACGACCGTGGTGTTGCCAGGGAACATAGATTCCTTTCGCAATTGGAGGAACATTGGGAACATCGGTATATACATATGTATGTATGTATATATGTATATAGCTTAACCTCACCAAGCAGCACCAGACGTCACATTAATGGTGAGTATTATAAAAACATTATTTAAAAGAATAAATTCAGAGGATTATTATACTCACATTTAATTGAATTCAGTCTGAAAATATATTATATGACTCTCACTGAAATAAATTTCCAAATATTTTGCTTTCATGGCTCTCTGAGTCATAAAGGTTCCCGACACCTGATTTAGGTCAATATTGAAATCATGATTATTCAAACGATTATGTTTTAGTTACACGATGAATTTATTCAACATTTTCCTTTAAAAAAACAAAAACAAAACACTTATTG